TTGGGCTAAAGAGCTCACTTTGCAAGCATGAGTTTGGACCCTAGAACGCATGTAATGGGCCAAGTGAAAATGTGAGCTCTGTCTTCAGAGAGAGAAAGTGGAGAGTGATAGAAGAAACAGGACACCCTCCTCTGGCCTCTGGGTACACACACAACACACACACCCTACACACCCCCCCCACACACACATCCCATAACACACACACACACACACACACACACACACACACACACACACACCAGGCGCATGAATAAAACATTTCTTGTGTTTGGGGGGTCATGAGGAGACAGGGAGAAGGTAATCAATTCAGCAAGATCCCAGGGGAGCCATATATAAATGTCTTTTTAATTACTGCACAGCTAGTGTGTGCCAGGAACTGGGCTAGAGGTTGCTCGTACAATCACTGATCTTCCGAGCATGCCTACAGAGTAGAGAAGGATCGTCCTCTTTCTGGAAATGCAGTCGCTGAGGCTGGGGACGGTAAAAGTCTAGATGCTTCCCTTTTGATGGAAAGTCACTGACAAGAGCACCACCTCTTTTCATTGTGGCACTTTGCAATGGGGAAACGAGTGATGTCATCCTCTGATTCTCCAGGAATAAGAAGCAAAAACAAGTAACTGAAAGACTGGCAGTCGATGGAAGGAGGTTGTTGTGTTTCTATCGAAACTGTGAGATTTGGACCAGCGAAATGACTCAGTAGGTAAAGGTCCTTTCCACCAAGCCTGATGACCCGAGTTCAAATCCCCCACACCCACATGACAGAAGGAGAGAACAAACTCCTACAAGATTTTCCGGATCTCTACAAACACTGACCTGTGTGGGACAAACATTTTATTCGTGTATGTGTATGCATGTGTGAATAGAGACCAGAGTTTGTCATATGACTGTCATTCATTGTATTTTTGAGACCTGGAACTCTACATTTTGGCTAGACTGGCTGGCCCCAGGTGCTAATCTTAAACTTTTTGTGCTTGAGAAATGACTCACTGGTTAAGAGCATTTGGTGGCTCTTCCAGAGGGCCTGGGTTCAGTTCCCAGCACCCACATGGTGGCCAACAACCATTTGTGACTCTAGTCCCTGAGCATCTGATGCCCTCTTCTGGCCCCCACAGACACTACCCGCATGTGGTGCGTAGACATACATGCAGGCAAAACACCCATACAGGTAAAGTAAAAACAAAGTTTCAAAGCATTATTAAAGACGACCATCTTGGGGCTGGAGAGATGGCTCAGAGGTTAAGAGCACTGACTGCTCTTCCAGGGGTCCTGAGTTCAATTCCCAGCAACCACATGATGGCTCACAACCATCTACAATTCAATCTGGTGCCCTCTTCTGGTATGTAGGCAGAACACTGTATATGTAATAAATAAATCTTTAAAAAAATTATTAAAAAAAAAAAAGAAGACGAACATCTCACCCAAGAGTTTAACAGCCAGTTCTAAAACAACTGGAGCTCCAGAAGCTTCCGCTTTTCTTTTTTGTTTTGTTTTTGTTTTTTGTTTTCTGAGACAGGGTTTCTCTGTAGCTTTGGAACCTGTCCTAGAACTCACTCTGTAGACCAGGCTGGCTTCAAACTCACAGAGATCCACCTGCCTCTGCCTCCCGAGTGCTGGGATTAAAGGCGTGTGTCTCCAACGCCCGTCTGCTTCTGCTTTTCTTTACATTCAGTGTGTGTGTGTGTATGTGTGTGTGTGTGAGCATGCACACATATGTCATGGCACATCTGTAGAGGTCAGAGGACAATTTGTAGGAGTCAGTTCTTTTCTCCCACCATGTGGGTTGCTTGAGGTCGAACTCATGCTGTCAGGATGGCAGTATGTGCCCTTCCCCACTGAGCCGTCTCACTGGACCGAGACTCCTGATTTTATCTTGAGACACTCACAGGCCAGCCCCCCAGGAAGGAGCTATTAGATAACCCAAAGGGATTATCAGCTCTACCTCTTCTGCCCCCATCCAAAAGTCACTCTCCAAGCTGGGACAGGGCTTGGGCTGGGGGTAGGGAGCCACAGGCTGGGCAGAGAACCTGGTTGGTTAAGCGTTCACTACACAAACATGAGCACCTGAGTTTGGATCGTCGAAAGCTGAAGGCAGTGGTGCACCAGTGTGCTAGCAAAATAGGCAGAAGTCTCTGGGGCTCTTAAGTCGCACAACCAAGCCCACTCAGCAAATTTCAGGTTGCACAAGAGACTCTGTAGTAGTAGAGGAAGAGCTCAGGAGGACATATTCACAGACACATAGGAGCGCGCGCGCGCGCGCACACACACACACACACACCGCCATGTAGGTTATCACTTGGTGCCGTAGACCGATTCACACCCTGCATTGTCTCCCTCTCTCACTCCTCATTGGATTGACCCTCAGATGAATCACAGGTTTGAAAGTACAAATATTGATTTCCCTAAAGGCTTGTTATCTTTAAGAGGGTCTCTTTTGCAAGGAGCATCTCCCATGCTCATGAGTCAATCAAGGTTCTGCCAGGGGCCTCAGGGGTGCCAGAAACTTGACTCATGATGAGCAGCCCTCCTCCCTGGAAGTCCCTGGAAATGGGTGTGAGGGCAGTGGTTACCGAGTGAGAGGTTGGACAGGAGACAGCCGGGAACGTGTTAATAAATCACCAGGGCGCCTCAGTCTCCATCGAGGCAATTACTGGGATCAGTTGTCTCCGTGGTTCCTTAGTCACGGCTCCGATCGCTTCTCTCAGACTGAAACTGGGTAAATGCCAGGTGCACGCAGGCATGCGGTGTCGGGGAAATTAGCCATGGCACGTCCTCTGCCTTCTTATACAGATGTCCCCGGGGTCTCAGCTAGGCTGAAAGGGGAGTGTAGTTAGAGCAGACAGGAAGCCATGAGGTACAGGTGGTATTAGTAGGTGATGGAACTTCAGCTGTCACCCTCTTCCCGTGCCCTTCCTGCAAATGGAGTAGTAAGCCAGCTTCCCCGCTGCAGCGTGCCCACAAAGGGTTTGTACAACTTACATTGCTGGATCCCACCTTCAGGTTTTCAGAATCAGTTGCTCCCCTAGGCATTCATTTCTAGTAAAATTCTAGAGTGCTGTGACTGTCACTGGACTGGACATCATCCCCCTTTAGAGAGCCACTGGGGGTAGTAGTCACGGTCATAGACTCTGGGACCAGGCTACAACAGCTTTCAGCACTGATGCGGTAATGCACCAGCCGTGTGATTGTACACCATTGGCTCAACCTCTCTATGGCTCCATTCCTTCTCTTGAAAGGAGAGGTGATAATATTAGCATTTACCCCTTGGGGAGTTTGCAAACATCCAAGAACCTGGAAACATTCAGAAAACACCTGTGGTAGAGAACATAACCTCCTGGGACTGTGACCAGCACAAGCCATGTCTCTTGGATCTAATAGCTGCAGGTCCCAGTGAAATTGCTGGGTCATTTTAACTCTTAGCCTTCCATCCCATCTCTGGTGTCCAAGAAAGATGTTGTCCAGCTCAGTGCCAGGCGGAGGCCGGATGCACCCACATCCATCAACAGCCGCTTCTCAGGCTGCCTGACCTTTCCAATCTGAGACACAATGGGGTCTGGTGAGACAGGGACACTGGGACAGCCTTGCAAATAAGGCCTCTGGCAGCCTCAAGCTGATCACGGCTGTTCACTGATGGCTTACTTGTTTCAGTTCTGAAGATCAAACTCAAGACCTTACCCATGCTAAGCCCATGCGCCACGGACCACCAGCCGCTTGACACCGTATTTTTTGTTGTTGTTGCGCCATTTTATTTATCCCTCGTAGGGTCACTAGTAGATAATAAGTTGGGAGAGAGGTGTTAAGAGAACTTTTGAGACTGGGATCTCATGTTCCACCTTATTTTGAGGCTGGGTTTCTCTTGCTGTTTTTGCTGTGCTGTGCACCCCAGTCTAGCTGGCCCACAGGCTTCCAGGAGCTCTTGCCCCTGCTTCCCATTTGCTGTAGGATGGCTCAGAATACAGATTCATACTATCACAGCTGGCTTTTTTGCATGAGTTCTGCATGTCAGGCTTGAGTGGCAAGTGCCTTTCCTGTTGAGTCATCTTGCCAAACCCTTAAAGTTATATATTAAAAAAACAATTCTAGAGGAGAGGGAGCTTGCTCATTAGGTAGATTGCCATGCAAGCATGGTCTCCTGTGCTTGGAGCCCCAGTACCCACATCAAATGCAAGAACAGAGGTACCTGTCGTAATCTCAATGCTGGCAATAGACAAAATGTGGAGGCAGGCAGATACCTGCAGCTCACCAACCAAATTAGTGCGCTCTAGGTTCAGTGAGAGACCCTGTCTGTCTTTAAAAAAAAAAAGGCCAGGCATGGTGGCAAACACCTTTAATCCCAGCACTTGGGAGACAGAGGCCAGAGGCAGGAGGATCTCTGTGAGTTTGAGGTCAGCCTGGTCTACATAGTGAATTCCAGGACAATCAGGACCACATAGAGAGACCCTATCTCATACTATATCCCTCCCAAAATTGAGATGGAGAGTAATGGAGGAAAATATCCAACAGAAATCATGAACATCTATATACTCACATGCATGCGCACATGCGTGCACGCACATACCTATGTATACATACATGTGCTCATGTGCACTTAGCTGACCACTAATCTCTGATCTCAAGGTTGTACTGTGCCACCTCCCTAATTTTGTATTAACATGGGGGTTATGGCGAGGTCCCCAGTGAGCAAGTGAGCTCCCCAGACCTGGAGTTGGCTTCTGTCACAGGCGTCTACATTCCCTCACTGGCATCAGGGTTCACAGCACATATTCCCTTTGGAAATGTGCTGCTGGGCCATCTCCCTTCCCAACACTGCTCACCGACTTCTGGGAGAAGTGCTCACGGCAGTGGCTTCTCCCACAGAACGTGGTATCTGATGTATAATATATCCCATTTCTGCTGTAGAGCTGTGCTCCCAGCCTAATGGTCAGACGAGCAGCCCCAAGCCACACTAGGGCCGTGACAAGAGGAAACTGCAGTGCTAATCAAAGTCTGCCTTTTCTCTGCAGTGTTCCTTTCTGCCGAAATTCTCCATCCACATAGAAACCAAGTACGAAGACAACAAAGGAAGCAACGACAGCGTGAGTAGCCCGCTTGTAGCCTCTGATTCTGTGTGTTGCTCAAGTCTTGGCCTCTGAAGGTCACAGCACTTCACCCGGCCCTGGTCTATCCCTGGGACCTCAGAGAGGTTCTGGGCTTGGCCCTCTGGAACTAGGCCTGGTGCACCTCATAGTCTAGCTTTCGTCTGTTCTAATCTGTGTGTCCTTCCAATGGGCCTGTCTGCAATGGACGTGACTGCCATGATAAGTGGAGAGGACAATGGAGCTCAGGTTTCTCTGATTCCATTTCCGACTGCACCTCTCAAGTGCTGGGATTACAGAGCGTGTGCTCCCAGACTCTCACCTCTGAGCAAATCCCAACAGTCACTGAGAAGTGCATGCCAAATGCAAAGGCCAGAGACGGAATCTGGGAGTGGGAGATGCTTGCGGAACGCTTTCTATAGTGGTAATAGCAGGGACTGGCCTGGCTGATACTTGGTCACGTCTGCTTCCTGAATTACTACAGGTGATAGCCAACTACTTTGTTTTGGTTTCATTTGGTTTTCTGCCCATAGGCATGTGTGGATGATGCACCCGCGTGCGTGCGTGTGTCTGTCTGTGTGTCTGTCTGTCTGTGTGTCTGTCTGTCTGTGTGTCTGTTCTGAGTGTGAATGGGTGCTCAAGCGCAGGAGGGTACGTGCGTGTGGTTATGTGTAGATGGGAGCCTGAGGTTGACGCCACTGCCTTCCTTGATTGTTCTCCACCTTATTCATCGAGGCAGAGTCTCTCATTTGAACTCACAGCTGCCTTATGTGGTTAGTGTGGCTAGCCCCTTGTTCTCAGGATCTTGTGTCTGTCTTCTAAGATGTGCTGCCACATCCATTCAGCATTGACGTGAGAGTCCTGGAGACCCAAATCTGGCCCTCACTGTTGTAAGTGCTTTAGCTGCAAAGCTAACTACTGTCCTATTTTCTATCTTTCTTTTGTTGTTGTTTGTTTTTTGAGACAGGATTTCTCTGTGTATGCCTGGCTGTCTTGGAAGTCACAGAGATCTGCCTGCCTCTGCCTGCCTGCTACTGTTCTGGGATTAAAGGCCTGTACCACCACTGTCCTGCCAAACTACTTTCTTTATAAATAAAGATTTATTGGTACCCAGCCATACTCATCCAGTGTGTATGATGCTTCTCAGCCACAGAGGTGAGTGGTTGTCACATAACCTATAAAACCTGGATTTTTTTTTCCAGTATTCGATTGATCTCTCCACAAGTGGTCTCAGCCACATGCTTGCTCCAGAGTTTCTGGAACTTTCCAGGGAGAATAATATCACTAGCTGGGGTATTCTCCTGCCACCAGGTTCAGTAGCTCCCTAGTGAGCATCACCTCAGTGTGGTTACACAAAGGAGGTGGAGAGGGCCGTCCCTGCCCAGAGCCTAAAATATGTGCACTCTGCTGGCCAGCTTTATCAAAACCACAGTGTCACAAAGGGTGCATGCTAACTTTGGCAAGCGTGACCTTTTCTGATTGGAAAATTAATAAACAGCTTTTAGAAACTTAAAATGTGCAATGAAGGAGGAAAAAGAGCTCCAAAACAAAAGGAAAGCCAAGAGTAATCCCATGATTCAGAGATGAATACGCATATCCCTTTGATTCTCGTTAGAAGATATTAGTGATTTTTTTTTAAACCAGTTCCTCCCAAACTGAATCATACAGCATGCTATTTTTAACAAGGCACGGCATACTCTTCCCCACTCGAGGTCGATGTTGTGTCTGTTTCTCAGTCGTTCTCTGCCTTAATTTTGGAGAACACTTCTCTCACTGAACTTGGAGTTCTACTCTGCTAATCTGCCTCGGGTCCCTGCCTGCCTCGGGTACCTGCCTAGGGTTACCGGCAAGTGGAAGGTTATCGTGCCCATCTTTTCTTGTTGGTGCTGGGGAGCTGGGGATGGGAACTCAGGCCCTCATGCTTGCACAGCAAGCAGCTTACCTACTGCCCCATCTTCTCCCCAGCTCTCACGTGTGGTTTTTAACAGCTGCACTGCTTTCTTGATGCTGCTGGAGATTGAAATGAGCTCGACTGTTCTGACATAGCTATGGGCGATCAGGAAAATCACAGTCAAAACCGGACTGTTTTTCCTGGCACCGCTGGGAAAACAAAACGTGGGTTTGGTGGCTGGAGAGGGAGACGGCTCAGGGTTAAGAGCACTTGCCCCTCTTGCAGAGGACCCAAGTTCATTTGTTAGCACCTGTATTCAGTGACTAGCAACTAGCTGTTACTCCAGTTCCAGGAGACCCGACACCCTCCCTCATCTGTCCTTCCTGGGCATCAGGCATGCACATATGTGTAGGCAAAATAGAAGACAACAATAAAAGTGATTTTAATAGTAGTCTTTCCAAACAACTTACTGTTCTCATTCTCTTTTTCTCTGAGCTTCACTCCATGTGAGTTCATTCAAATCAGCTCTCCGGGTATAGATGGCACTGGGTATCTTGTGCCTCACAGATTTCGAGGCCCCTGTAACCTTCAGGCTTCCTCCCTGGCCTCTGCCCGACCCTGCTGTGAGGTCCCCATGTGTCACTCCTGGGGCCACTGGAGCAGAGAGTCCGGGCTCCACTGGATTGCTCCCTGCTTTGCCTGTGCCCACTCTTTAATGTTGACTAAATATTTCAGTTCCTCCTACACCATTTCCAGGAGGAAGAAGCGGAAGGCTGGATTCCACTCGTGCTCCCACACTTGCAAATCACAGTGCATGTGTATCTAGTTTTAATGATACCAAGGCTAACCCTATCCAGCCGGGGTCAAATCCAAAGCCATAAGCCCATGCCTTGTTCAGCCATGTCCTTGCTCTGCCCAGGGTAGCGGAGGCTGAGTGCAGAGAGGCAGTGTGGTTGTGGGCACTTCACTCATTATTGGATAAATCCAGTTCGCCTCGGCCTTTCCTGTGTAAGTGGTCTTATCATTCAGCTGCTGCCCTACACGCATCTATCTGCACCGTTTCCATCCCTACCTGCCAAAATTTTAATGAACTGGATGCTGATAAGAAGCAATAATTATACTGAAAGACTCTGGTGATAATCGCATTGATTAGTGGCTGAATGGAGTACATTTGCTATCTTATTATCAGTTATCATCTCAGTCATAAATGTGATCCAAAACCTAGTAAGAACGCACTTCCGGGATGACTAGACAGAAATATCTTCTCATTAAAGAAGAAACCAGTGAGTGTATGTTTGTGTAAACCTGCAAACTGTGGTTCTGTCAACTGGGACACAGTGGGGAAGTTGTCTTAAATTGAGGCCCGTTTATTTCATGCACAAGCTGATGGGAGTCATTTAGGCCTTAATTAGTGCTGGGGAGGATGGGGCCATGCCAAAGCAAGGTTCTGTGGTTTGTCCAAGGCCATAAATCTGGATTGGAGAGAGTCAGTGCTCAGCACAGCGTGGTTCGGCTGAAGGGGAGACCGCTCCTGTGACACCTGCTGCATGCAGGGTCACAGTGTGTCAGGAGGCTAATGGGGGCAACCTGGCCTCTGCTTCCTCTTCTAAGCAAAGCAGGCACCATGCAAAGTTGAGTTCTGAGCCCTGGCTGCATGTAGGGTTCACCTAACCTAGCTAGCTTGTCTGTCTGTCTGTCTGTCTGTCTAATCCAGGCTAGCCTTGAACTCTACACAGACTGGGTCATCCTCTATCCTCAGCCTTCCAGCTGCTTGGGATTACAGGCATGTGCGAGTCTGTGTGTGTGTGTGTGTGTGTGTGTGTGTGTGTGTGTGTGTGTGTGTAAGAGCATGTGTAGCGGCTGAGGACAACTTGAAGGAATTGCCTGTCTTTCTACCATGTAGGTCCTAGAGAGCAAACATCAGCCTCAACTACAAGTGTCTTTACATGAGGAGCCATCTTGCTGAGAAGTCTTAACTACTTAGGGCCCGTCCCTCTGGGGCTTATGTTTACTTGGTGACAGGTACATATTGTTCAAACACTAACCAACACAAAGAACCTAGAAGCTGATTTCTCCAAATGGGTTGACCCTATGGCTGAGCCTTGTCTGTTGGTGGGACATATATGGGATGTGCCACCTGACCATCTAAAGTGGTGGTGCTAATCATGGCTTTGCGCTGAAATCACCCATTAAACTCAGCAATCCTATGCTGCTGTGCCTGCCCACGGGACCATGATTTCACTGATGACAGGTGAAATATAGTCATTAGGATTTTTAACACCCCCCCCCAGAAGGTGGATCTAAGGAATGGAAAAGCTGAGCATCAGCATTTAATATAAACATTTAGTAAACCAGGCTGTCCAAATGACTTCACTTCTCCATACTCATGAAAAGAGAAGGATCTTTGTGGTCTGGGGAAATGGTTCAGTCTTGTAAACATGAGGACCAGAGTTTTGATCCCCGGAAACACACCTACATGCTGGGTGGCTATAGCAGCCCACCTGTTATTCTAGCCTCCAAAGGTGGAGATGGCAAGCAAGCTGGCTCACTAGACTAGCCACATCTAGTAAGAGTAGCCATATTAGAGAGCTCTGGGTGTAACCAAGGGACCCTGCCTCGAGAAAAAGGTGGAGCAGTATTCCAAGATGATCCCAACATCAACCGACACACGTGTGTGTACACACAAATACAGACACACATCATACTACAAAAAAAGGAGCTTGGGTTTGTTTTTTTTTTCTTTTTGGTAAACATCAGCCTGTCTATATTTTGTTAGCTATATGTGTCACCAAGGTCATAATTCCTCCTGGAGCAAAGTCTTGGTAAGAAGGAAAGGATGTCTCAATCTATTCCAGTTCCAGGAATTTAAGCACTCTCATAGAGACATCTCTTGGAAGAAGTATTTGTGATGGAGTTTCTAGTCTGTCTGTCTAGTAATGAGTTGTTCCTTATAACACAGGCAGACAAATCAGTGCTCACATTCATCTCTGACCATAGGCAGTTCCTTGGCCAATCAGGGACTCTGTTTCTTTATCAAGGAAATGGAATTGATAATGCTGGCAAGTATGAAGGAAGGATTCCTGGAGATGAGTTTATAGGAAAACAGCAC